TGTGATCAATCAGCTTGGGGAAATAACGGGAGATTTATCATGGAAATGAAATGCAAATTGAGATCCTACCTGGTGTAAATCTGACTGAACTATGCTTTGGGACATGACCACCTGTTGGGCCTGTAACCCATCTGTGATCACTATAAAGGAAACATGACAGAGACATGGAAGCTGCCAATGTTGACCTCATTTCATAAAACAAATGCTAGTTGTCTGGTTGTCATTCTGACCCCCTGATTTTAATACAGAACATCAACCATTCAAAACATACAGGCAAATAAGGATTCCTGACTTCTCTGCAGCTTTCCAGTTCTGTATACTTGTCCTGGGTCAGTACTGACAGACAGGCAACTACTATTTTCATGACAGGTTTACTTTTATCTGGTGTCCTACTACTTCCAACCACTGGAGGGGAGCATTTTCAAAACAAGCAGGAAGCCATCAGTAAATCTGTCTCAGCTAAATTTACACTGCTAAATAAATGTCCTCCCAATATGAAAACTGCAATATGCCTGACATTTTGTACCCGGAATAACAGAGGAGACTCTCATGTTAAACTGTATTGGGCTGCCATTTGCAGGCTTCCTGCTTAAAAGTACTGCACAGTGGCTGTGCTTCACTGTTCCTCTCTTTCAGTGCAAGTCTATGGGTCAGGTCTAACCTGCCTAAAAGTCTTTATAAGGCCAACCAAGATTACCTCAGCATTAAATCTTCTATCTTGCTTTAAAGCAGGGGTAGGCAAAACTCAGCCCTCTAGCTGTGGTGCAGCTATAAATCCCATTAGGCATTGCTAGATTTTGACAGCCACAGATATGACTTCCAGAGGCAGAGGCATGATGGGATTTGCAGAGTCACCACAGGCTTGCCTACCCCCGGTTTAAAGCATTATGCTGTGTCTGTCTTGCTTTAATGTATGAACCTGCTTTATTGTAAACCTGTACTGAGAGACAGTGTTGACCTCTGACATAGTATGTAACTATGCAATGGTTGGTGCCACCTGCCAAACACGAAGGCTGCAGCATGTGTATGTACCCGAGTGGCTGCAATGTTAGGTTTCAGGCGGGCAGTTGGGTGCTGGATCAACCAGCTTTTTTTCCCGCGCTTTTCTCGCCCCTGTAAACAGGACCCTAGAGTCGTTTTTCTGAACATTCACTGAGTTACATTATCAGGATTTATGTAAATTCCATTTTGCTGAATGCTAAAGAATACTTTGAGTGCCTGTATAAGAATAACAGCATACAACGGATTATTCTGCTGTCCTAACAATATGAAATTTTAATTTGGGATCATTTAATGAAAAGTGATTCCACTTGTTCTCCATGAGAGCTATTTCAGGAAACACTGTAGGAGCAGGAAGCGGGCTAATAAATACAAAGCAGTTGCTACTATACGAGTTCCTTCAACTATTTTATGTGAAAACTGTCACTTGCTCTACAAAATGAGTCTGCTGGCTTTACTGTGGGGAGAAAATGGGCATTAAATCCACAGAAGCTGACGAGATCAGTGCATAATGTCATTGCGGAATCTGCTCCACAGACATTTAACATTCATTTTATGCTGCACAGAAAACGAGGAGTCTCACATAACACTGCAGGTCACGTACATAACATTTAGGAATATCAGCATCCAAGAAAATTGTTACTTGCTTTACAACATGTGAGCTAACACAAATCTGAATGTAACCTAGGAATGACAAAGCCCAGTCATGTTAATGTTTTACCTAACTGAAAGCAGATAAGACTTTACCAATCACTGCTGCCTCATAAAGTACTATAATAATGTGGAAAGGTTAAATGGCAGAAAGAAGGGGTGCTGGGGAACGGCTTGCCCTGGGAGGTGTAGGGAAAGGTTAAAATGGCAGAAAGAAGGGGTGCTGGGGAACGGCTTGCCCTGGGAGGTGTAGGGAAAGGTTAAAATGGCAGAAAGAAGGGGTGCTGGGGAACGGCATGCCCTGGGAGGTATAGGGAAAGGTTAAATGGCAGAAAGAAGGGGTGCTGGGGAACGGCATGCCCTGGGAGGTATAGGGAAAGGTTAAATGGCAGAAAGAAGGGGTGCTGGGGAACGGCTTGCCCTGGAAGCTGTAGGGAAAGGTTAAATGGCAGAAAGAAGGGGTGTAGGGAAAGGTTAAATAGCAGAAAGAAGGGGTACTGGGGAACGGCTTGCCCTGGGAGGTGTAGGGAAAGGTTAAATGGCAGAAAGAAGGGATGCTGGGGAACAGCTTGCCCTGGGAGGTATAGGGAAAGGTTATTTAGTAAAAGACAATGGGGGAAAAGAAATCTTCTCTGTGAGTTCCTTGTTCTGGTTTAGTATTGAGGGGCTTAAAAATGTTTTTATGAGATTTTAGTGATTGGGTTTACATTTTCTTTACTTGTAGCCTATATTTTGATGAAGATTAGGCTTATCTGTGCAAAGGTTTAGGGAGATACAGAACATATTATTATACTTGTAGATTTGGTCTTTTCAGCCATATTAACGCATGAGATTTGTCAAATCAAGAAGCCCATGATTGAGTGTTCCAGAACCCGGCTTATGCCGTCACTACATGTCAGATTTTGCCTTTGATTTCATGAAATCTAAAAAGTGTTCCTTGCCATCAGTAAATACAGGCTGTACCCAGCAAAAGGCTATCTTGTGAGACTTTTTGTGCCTAATGGCTACTTAGGCTGTATACCCAAAGTAACCAAAATATATTAAAGCAGAAATCTGGCAAACAGGAATTACGTGATCTAGGTGTCACGTATATTTGATGAGATCAGCATAGAGGACACAACTATAGTAATTCACAGTAGTCATTGCAGCAGCCAGAAGATGTGTACTAATTATACTGTGGAATCAGCCCACACTTGAACATTTACACTATGCGGAAGAATTAAAATTTAGGAAACAGGTTTGTTTTGTGGTAATATTTTAGCAAATAAAGCCTGTACATTTCTGCAAGCTGCAGTACAAACCAATGCGCCTACTGCATAAATACTTTACATTACATCCAAGATTTTGCTTTCCAAAGAGATTTTTACCCTATACTATATGAAACCATGGATGAACCAAAGCATACAAGGCAGATAGGAATCTGAACATAGCAAAACGTGCCATTGCTTGCTATGTAGACTAAGGTCTAATCCAGTGAAGGATAAATCCTTGGAGCCAGCAATTAAAGCACCCAAATAGAATTGTAGCTAGCATTACATCTAGTCACATTGATGGAGAAATGCAGTTCATTTTTAGGTACATTCCACTTGAATTTGGAAACGAAGCTGCATTAACCTGCTTTTGTATTCCCATTCACTTGTATGGCAAGAATAGCAGTTCTGATGTGAATGAAAGCTCCCCATCCACACTTTGAGTACCTGCTGGCTTCAGGACTGCAGTGGCTGGACCCCTGGCTGAATCTATATCTAAAAACAGTGTAAAACAGATAGTAGTCTTTCTTTACCAATAAAAAAAGAACCAGTGAGTAAAAGAACATGACAAAGCAAACTAAATACAGCACCGAGTAGCTGCCAACGCATTACCGCAGATATTCTTACCAAGTCACCCTAAGTCAAGTGAATATTAATTTTGTCAAAGTCAATTCCTGGATAAACATAATCCCCATCCACCTACATATGAATGCCTAGACCTGCTGAATGGTAGCTTGGGCACTGCATTGTGGGATACAGGTGGACCTAATATTTGCTAAATGGAAGTGGAGAAATTTATGGAGGCTCTTTCCACAAACTGGGTGAGTTTCAGCAGCAACAAGCTGACAGCTTAGCTTTTACAGGTTTAAATACCCAAACAATGAGACAAATATAAAACCTACATCAATCCACTGAAGTGTGGAAAAAACCTGATTGAAAATACTGAAATAAAAAGTCGTGGCCAGTCAAGGCTCACATTAGTGGATTGTGGAACGATTAGTGAAAATTGGCGAGAGAGCTGATGCAGCAGTAATGACCATTTAGGAGAAGCAGCTACAATAATCATGTAATAAAGTCAACTTTCTGGCAAACCAACAATATTACTGGGAAGAACCCAAGCCAAATGGAAGGGATGCGCTTCCACCTTTTGCCTAGTAAACATAACCTCAATATTCTTCAAGCTGCACAGCCTGGACAATGCTCAGAGGTGCTCCATCTAAACTCAAGGAATAGGAGGCCTCACTGATAAAGAAGAAACAGTTGTTTTTGCCTATAACAGCCAATCAGTTAGCTCCTTTTATTATCATAGACTGCAATGGAAACATGAAAATAATATAATTTGTTGTTGTTTTACTGGGTTACAGGAAAACCGCTTAGCTGTCCTGCAGAGATGTTTATTCATGACACCCACTTATGCTCAGTAGAATAGCCTGAGTGAGGAATGCCTGCGAGTGTCATCACACAATCTTCATAATTAATGCTGGGATAAAATACCCCTCTTAGAAGAAGAGATTAAGGCAATAGGTAAAGCTCATACCTTCTCAGGATACAAAACTTTAGCAGTAACATGTAGAAAAAGTAGCATACACCAGGGCTAAGATATGCAACTGGAGGACAGAAAAGGGTCTACTGATTAATCAGAATCCAACAGTCTCGTTTCTACAGTAAGCTGAAAACCAAAAGCAAATATTTGACAGATTGCAATAGACCAATAACTTTCCTTTCCTTCATTAAAAACCAGCTACAGTGCTTAAAGGGTCAAACCATTCAAAACTGGTATTTCAGCTATGGGTAGATGCTCCCTGGTGTTAACACACCATGCCTTCTTATATTTCTAGGGGACTTCAACTGTAAACTCTCCCACAAGAATTCCTGATTCAGCCAATACCCCGGCACCATCAGTTTGCCTCCCCTTGCTGAATTCTCCCAAAAGGTTAAGACAGACCTCTTTGCAATGGTTGCAGCATTAGGACGTACCTGCGAATTCAGAAGCACCGACCTCTCTACAATAATCCAAGATGGGTACAGGAGATCTCTGGAAGATGATATAATCCCCCCCCTCCCCAAAAAAAAACAACAACACTGTAAGTTCCCCTCTAATAAGCATGGAACATAGTTTGGTCCCTAATGTAAGCCACACTCAGATGTAACACAAAGAAATAAATAGATAAGTTGTAACTTTAAGGCAAATTAATATTTACCAAGGTGCAAACACTTCCCTGAAATATTGATATGAAATAGTAAAAGATTATGCTGGCTGTTATCTCCACATACAGACACAGGTGGTTTGCTTGTAAGAGTTCTTCCTCTTCTGAATCTGAGAGTTTGATTCACCTGTAACAACAGAACATGCACAGACAGGGCTCCACTATATAAGCAACCAAAACAGGTAAATGATAAGATGAAAACAAAGGGAAAAGTGTGCACAAAGGGTGATGTGTAGGACTTAAGATACTACTTGTAGCCCTGCTTTACAGACCGCTCAAGTCGAGAGCAAGAGAACATTGTTAATGCCTGTGCAGAGATAAAACACATTTTCATGGTTCTGCTGGGAAAAGCATTTGTGTGAGGTGACCACAGGTTTGAATTCAGGAGTTCCTAAAAAGCACTCAAGTCCGTGTGTATAAGGTTATTGTGAACAGGAACAGCCCCTGTCAGAAGTTCTGCTGCCTGCGCTTTTTGGCGTCCATAGCGTCCAGGATGGGTTGCCTCTTTGCTGTGTACCTCTGCCGCAGTTCCTCAATTTCCCGTTCCATCATTGGGTCCAAAGCTTTCAGCCTCATCTGCAGCTCCTCAAAACTCAGATTTTTAAGCTGTGGGCAAAATAAAGAAACAAATAATTAAAAAAAAAAGTAACAAGGGAAGCCCGTTGTCTTATACATAAAAAAACAAACAAGAAAATATGATTGAAGGAGAAAGTGATTTTAGTAGGGCACATAACGGATGCGCTCACTATTCCAGGACACTGACGACAAATCATCCAAAGCTGCATCTGTCATCCCTATATAAAAGGGCTCTGATGTTTAAGATAAAATAAACATTAACTCTAATTGAATTTCCTGCGGCTCCACTGACAGGGGCCATTTCTCTTGTGAGACGGCTGGAATTCCTGAATGTCACAGACGGAGGGAAGCTAATGTGTAGTCATCTGCTAAAAACCCCTGAATGTTCTTGAATGTGAAGGCTACAGGCTTTACTGAATTACACCTGCAAAGACCAATGTTCTACAGTAACCCATAACAAGCAATCAGGATTCCCATTTCACTGGCTTGCTTGAATTGAGTCTGAACGATGATGTTTGCACTTCATTGATGTTACCATTATTTTTTAACATGTGTGTGTCTATTTGCATTGACAAACTTATTAACTGTTAGGAAAGAGAACTGCTTGTACTATCTTATTTAAGTTCACTGCAGGCACTAATACTTCAGTAACACTAAATAACATAGTTTATCTGAGTTTTATTTTCCAGAACTGCTTGTTTGTTCTCTCTAACCAGGGCTACCATACTGCTACTTCTAGGAGTGGGTATCGCTGCTTCTGTATTGCTGAATTACAGCAGTCATTATTGTCCCCATCTCTCTTCTACAGGGGGAAGCCAAGCTATGTCATTGCACTTGCAGTGCGGTTACTTACTGACCAAAAGAACTTTAACACACAAAACTGCCCACCAATGGATTTACAAACTGGACATATTCACTGTTTGCTTCTTCAACTTGGTATAGCTCAGTATCTGCCCTTGTTTCTTGCCCAACTAAGTGTATGAGGTAGAGAAATGCAGAGAAATGTGCATGTGATGCAAGGAGCTGTGATGTACACTCCTATGGCCTCCCCATGGTAACGCTTACATATCATCAGAAATCCCTACTCTGCTCTCCTCACCATCAAGTATCACAGCTCATGCTATATCTTTGTAGTTTCCAAAAATGTCAACATGAGAAACATGAGCCCCTAGGGCAGGTGCATTCAGGAACTACAAATGGTTTGTTGCTCAAATATTTCTGAGATAAAAGTATCTATAAAAGAATCTCTAATTTGATATCAAGACCGTGTTGTCTGATATTCATCTAAAGAGTATCTCATACACAACATTACTGAGATGGCTCATAAAATAGTACTTTACTATGTCAAAAATATATTTTAAAAAAGCATTTAAACCAATTAAACACCAATGGTCCACTTGAAAAGGCACTCACCGGTCTTGTAATGAGGCAATGTATCTATCTTGCCCTATTACATTTTCAATCTTTCACTCTCTACTGGAATCTTTCCTACCCCTCTCAAACATGCACTAGTCACCCCAATACCCAAAAAACCTTCACTGGACCCTGCCAACCTCAATAATTTCAGACCTATCTCCTTACTCCCATTCACCTCTAAACTACTAGAACGCCTTATCTACAACCGCCTGAGTTGCCACCTCGCAAATAACAACCTTTTGGACCCCTTTCAGTCCGGCTTTCGCCCTCAACACTCCACTGAAACAGCTCTCCTAAAACTCACCAATGACCTAATAACAGCAAAAAACAACGGCCACTATTCCTTACTCTTGCTATTAGACCTCTCTGCTGCTTTTGACACTGTTGACCACCCGCTGCTCCATAAAAAAACTCCACTCGCTTGGCCTACAAGACCCTGCTCTCTCGTGGTTCAACACACATATATATATACATACACACAAAAGTTTTAGAACACTCCCATTTTTCCAGTTTTTATTTAAATGCAAGCAGTTCAAGTCTAGTGAATAACCTGAAATGGTACAAAGGTAAGCAGTAAACGGCCTGAGATGAAATAAATAAAAACGTTTAGGTTAACAAAAACTGAAAAATAACGTACAATTCAGAGTTATACAAAAATACCTTTTTTAGGGAAGAAGTAATATGGGGATGTTCATATACCAGTGCAGATACTTGGCATTTTCACGAGAACTACCAGGGCTGCAACAGTTGCAGCTGGGACCTGGCTCTGGCGCTCCACCACTGTCCTAAAATCATTAGTCTGAAACCCCATCAAGCTGGTTTGGGATGAACTGGACAGAAGGGTGAAAGCAAAGCAACCTACAAGTGCAACACATTTGTGGGAACTTCTGCAATAGTGTTGGGAAGAACTTTTTGAACATCATTTGATTTTCATTCAAAATAATGCCACCAGTGCGTTCGGCTGTTATATCTGCAAAAGGTGGCTACTTCGATGAGTCAAAAAAGTATATTACACTTTCTTAAAGAAAACGAATGCATGGTTACTTTTGGATGTTCAATTGTTTATTTATTCTATGCATTATTTTCCGAGTACATTGGGACACTAAACTGTGTAAATTTCGAAACAAACTGGAAAAATGGAGGTGTTCTAAAACTTCTGATTGGTAGTGTGTGTGTGTGTGTGTGTGTGTGTGTGTGTGTGTGTGTATATATATATAGCTTAGTCCTATGTAAGCCAGCCATTACTTCACTTATTTTGCTGGTCATTTGGAGAGGGCTAGGAGGCCACCATGCCCTCCCTACATTTACGGACGTATACAGTAAAGATGCTACACTCAAGCTTTGGCTACCATTTGCCAAGGTCACATGTTCCAAACATTAAATATGAAAGCTTTTATTTATGTTACAGCCTTGGGCTTTCTGTGAGCACCTTAAATGCCCCTATTTAATTAACTCCGGGAATGGATTCCTTGAGGGTTGATGCCAGATTAAAGTGGAAACATATCTGCTTATGTTCTATACAAAGTGTTTCAATTTAGCTCTTACAATACAACTCCGTGTTTTGGGGAAAAAAACACAATCGGCATCACAAACTGCAACATGAATAAATCCTCAAATATACTATACATTGGCTGTGTTATGCTAGGTATACATTTCAGTTAGAATTTTTTTCAAAAATAGTCATTTTCGGAATGTTCATTTGATTATGTAACAATCAATGGGGTCAAATTGACAATCATGTTTGATTGTAGTGTTGAAAAAAAATTGAAGGAACAGGATGGAATTTCTTTCTTGAATGGATGAACTTCTAACAGTGAATGTGATTTTCATTCAGGAAACCCCATTCAATTCCAGATTTATGTTAAAATCAAATGAAATTTCAACATCTGTCAAGTCTCTGATGTTATCGAATGTTCTGATTAGAATTTTCATCCGAACTATCGTACACAATTCTAACTGTGTATACCAAACTTTAGGTTGATGAGTCACCACTAAGGGAAAAACACACGTGCTACTTGTCTTGCTTACTGACTGAAAAGCTCTGGCCCGATCGAACCCTTCAGAACTACCCATTTTGGAAACATTTAGGAGTCTAAAGGTGCCCATACACTGCACGATTATCGTACGATAATCGTATGCGATCGGTTTTTCGTACGATAATCGAGCAGTGTGAACGGAGACGTGCGACCGTTTCTACTGTACGGTCGCATGTCTTCTGTCGAACCAGCATGTTCGAAAACCAGCCGGGAATCGTACGATTCTCGGCTGGTTAGAACGGTGCTCGGAAGACAAATGCCGAGCGGGCCGGTGTGCGCACGCGCACACTGCCCGTTCAGCATTGCGGTCATCGGAAGCCTGCCCCTCAGGGGGGCGGGCTTGCGATGATCGAGAGTGCGATCTGCCTGTCCAAGATAGGCAGATCGTACGTTTTTTAAATCCCTGTACAACCATCGCAAGACTAAAGTCTTGCGATGGTTGTAGAGTGTATGGCCACCTTAAGGCTGGGTTCACACCTGTGCGTATTTTTTCTGCTTGTTTTCTTCACGTTTTTTAGCACGTGTTTCCGTTCAGTGAAACGCGCATTTGATTTAAATTTTTTTTCCTTATTTTCCCTATTTAAAAAAAACTTTTTTTCACTTTCAAACTTCGCGCCGGCTCCGCCCCCCCCCCCTGCAACGCGGCCGCTTGCAAGGGACGGAACACGGAAGTCGGCAGCGGCCGGAGGACAAGGTAAGACCTGTACGCTGTATTCCTGAGTGTGGCTTGGGGTTACTGCTTTGTTAACCCCGATCCACACTGGGGAATACCAATGGAAACGCGCGGAAAAACGCCCCAAAGAAGCTCCTGTACTTCTTTGGGCGTAGGGCGTTTTTCAGCGTGTTCCTACGCGCTGAAATACGCCCAGGTGGGAACCATACCCATAGGCAATTATTGGTTTTCACATGTTGAGCGTTTTACAGCAAGTAGGAACGCGCTGTAAAACGCCCAGGTGTGAACCAGGCCTAAAGGAAAAGGCTGTTATACTATCTCAAGAACAGAAATGTAGGAGTTTGCATATCCTTGCCATACGTAGAGACATGGGAAGAGGTTAACAAAGCTTGAGTTTCATTTTAAATCGGTGTTAAATTTTCCCATTTCCTAAAGAAAAACAGAAGCCGCAATTGACATCACTGTCACGGAGAAGATTTCAAGTACCCTGCAGGGTGTCATTTCATCTAAAATGAGCCGCTGGAAGATGCTATATTATATTGATCGGAGATTACATACACTATATTTTCTCAACAAAGCTTCAGGACATAAATAATGGCTTCATGAAATGGCTATCTGGCTGGCAAAAACATTCATTGTGATTAATGTACTTTGTAACAAAGACTGTTACAATGTTACTTCTAAATGAAGGAAAGGAGCAATTAACTAGTAGGGGAGTGAGAGTCTTCCAGAATCCGACACTGTGGCACTACATAATAAATCTGACATTCACTTTATTGCATCAATGGAAGTCAAAGAAACACAGGATACTGCTAAAGCCAAATACTAAAACTTAACTTTAAAAGGAGAACTATGGGGTCAGTGTTTTTCCCCATAGTTCTCCTTAGGGTAACAGGAGGACACAA